ACTAGAGTGAGATTCATTCGGAACAAACGCCATCATGGGTTCTAACGTTCCCATTGGCAACTACCCCTGCCACCAATAATAACAAAACTAACAATGACCTACACCATAAAACAAACATGCTCATTCTACACCTTCATCCAAAGGTTGTTCTTTCTTAATACCACTACCCATTGACACATATCATTCAATCAGATAGCTCTATATACCAAGAGCATAAATGGATTAATATGAAGTCTACAGTTTTTGAAGCATTAAAACTGGACGGTTGCATACCTCACGTGGTGATCCAGATCTTGATTTTGAACGTCGTCTGCATAGTTAGCAGAAAATGTATGTCAAACATTATTTCTTAATTTCTTGAGAAAATCCAAACTCGGGAAAACACACACACACACACAGGCCACAGGTACCTTGAAGATTTAACAGGGGATAGAGATCTTGATCTTGAAACTGATCTAGAAACAGATTGTTCGGCTGATTTGCTGCATGGTACAAGAAAACATTATAAAGAATAATGAGGCCATGAGAGTGATAACAGTAAAACAGAAAAAGCTGGTACCTCCTATTTCGCTTCGCACTTCGGCTTCGGCTTCGGCTTCGGCTCCGGCTCCGGCTCCTACTACGGCTTCTGCTTCTGTTTCTGCTCCGACCCCTAGTGGGACTGCCTTCATACTTTTTCACCTGCAACCAAATGTAATCCACAAACACAAGTGACATAAAAAACCAAATCCAGTTTCTTCAAATGCTCACTGAAAGAGGCTAGGCTGTAAATGAAAACAGCACAACAGTAGGCTAATTGAAAATAATTAACTATGGCAAGAGAAAAAAGGTTAAGGTACCCGAATGTATGCTCTTGCCCAAGGATTTTTGAATTCTGTATCGTCAAGTTTTCGAATCTAAATAACAAAAACACATTAGTAGTCAAATTGAAATAATACAGGACTTCTGATGAAACACGCTTACAGAAAAACTTACAGCATACTTCATGTCGTCATAGTTTGTATAATCAACAGTCCCAAATGTCCCTGGACACATTTACTTCAAATAGTAAATATTTATCTAGTTATCAAATCAATGCGAAGAAATTTCAGGTTCTGAAGTTTGTTGAAACTTGTAAAGAGAGAGAGAAAAAAAAACAATAGCAGTTATTATTACAATATCAAAGTTAAGGATTGCACCTTCGCTGTCATGGGAAACTTCAGCAAAACACACATCACCAGCCTTGCGCATATGATCCTGAAAGCATTACACCAGTAAAGTCACCAACATGGTCCAATAAAAGAAACACTTCATCTTTCATTAAACAATAAAGACTAGCACCTTCAAATCCTGCCAAGAAGCAGAAGATGGGAGTCCCCGTACAATCACTGTGAGGGAAATTAAACATTCATTAGACCATTGAAATTAATATGAATCTAATGGAATATTACACGTGGGAAATTGTCAGTATCACCCTTCCTTATAAGGATGCATCATATATACCCCCACACCTCGATATTCTGATCGTTTTGAAACACCAAAACGTCCTCCACCACCACCACTGCCACCATAATTGCTACGATGATCACTTGATGAAGGGCCTCTACCACCATGTGCAAGCTCAACCTATTAAAGAACTGAAAATATTAAAATAAAAAAAATAAAAAAAAAAAATAAAAAAAATAAAAAAAAAAGTAAGACCAGGAAGTAAAGCAAAAGGAAGACTTAGTTGATACCCTTAGACGGCAACCATCAAAATTATATCCATCACGACCTCGAATTGCATCTTCTGCATCCCTAACATTCTCAAACTAACGACAGAAAGCACATAATATCATGAAAATAGTTTGACAAATGCAGCTAAAAGTAGATACAAGCCAAAGATCAAAAGCAATACCTCCACAAAACAATAACATGGAGGGCGCGGTGGAATCTTCAATTCAATATCCAAAATTCGACCATACTGCCAAAGGAACTATCAATCATGTAGCCTCCATATCACAAAAATTAAACCTTAGATATGCATGAGCCACAAAATACATCTAATTGATTTTCTTTCTGAACCAAAAATCAAAATAGGATTGACCGTAAATCACCATTGTAATGTACATCCCACTAAGAAAAATAAAATAATTCAAAATAGCATTCAAAATTAAAAATATGAAAAGAGAAAATAACAATTTTCTCATAGACACCGTGATAAAAAAAAAATGCTACGATTAAAAATACATACCTTGTAGAACAAATCTTCAATTTCATTCTCTCTTATGTCTGAGGGCAAGTTTCCAACATATATCGTGCGGGAAAAACGACTACTCATCTTCAAGGCAACAAATTAGTCCGAGCGTTTGAAATATTATTCCTGCACATGTTATGTCATAACATCATACATCTATTAAATGAATCATCAAAAGGATAGAACAACCATCTTCTACCACAATTGCCATCTGTATCAACAACTTTACTCTTAAAATAAGGTAGAACCAAAAACAACAAAGCAAACCAAGAGAGCAATCCTCCATGTGAGCCGTGCTCCACAATTCCATTGCTCATTTGCTCCAAGATGCTCCAAAGGTATTATAATATTGAAATAAATTTTGTATCTCCTCATCCTCTCCAGAATTTTAGCAGTGCATAGCTTTTCTGAGAGAGATCAAGCATCTCCATTTTAAAAAAAATACCCATAACTCCACAAGGATTCTCCCATTCCCTTTCTATATCCCTATGTATGATTGCAATGCTCATATTTGTCCAAGCGCTTGTCATCTATCATAAAGAAAGCATGTGTGTCATGAGATGAGGCAAGAGTGACATACATGATTAATTTTCCCTTACTCATCTCTCTTAACATCATTGAGAAAGCAACCCTGAAAAAATATGCAGGATGTCCTCTGTGGATTAACTTTAGATGATCAGTGAAATCCTCAATTATGTTGCATCCAATTCCAAAGAGGAACGGTGCAAAAGTTTACTACCTTTCTTATCAACATATTTAAGAACGTGGTCATATAAAACATTAGTGTTAATACTCTTGGTGCAACATCATTATCTAAGGTCATCAGTGGGAGAACTCCACATAAAAAACAAAATAGAAATACCATAATGTTATATCAATTAACAAAATGGAAACATAATTTAACAAGCCGGGTCATTTTTACTTCACGTAAATAAATCCCAACTAACAGGACATAAATTGAAGAAAATTGTAACACCAATTCAGTACAGGGAATGCACAGAAGTGATATTAAGAACAGAAAAATTCAGACTTCCGTGCCAATTTATTAATACTGGGTGGTAACAAAACGTTGGTTAATACTGTTATTGATAAGTGTATTCAATCTTGAATCAACATATTTACAGAAATAAGAGGAACGATTTTAAAACGTAATAAAGGTGCTAACACAGTAGACTATTTTCTCAGTTCCAAAGGTCTAAGTAAAGGCATCTAGATTAAAGTTCACCAACCACTACAGTGTTGTATTAATAACAACGACAACAGCCCAATGGAAGTAAACTAGGAGGAACGCAGAAATCAAATTTCAACCACCGAATCAGCTGCTTCAGAGTGTGAAATAATTCAGCACGAGGTGTCGTCCATTTAACACGCCGAGAGAACGCAAACATAAAAGTAATCAAGCACATAATACTAAATTCAACAAAACTTATCCACTAATGCCGCACCCTAGTTCAGATGACAAGAACACAAAAAGAGAAAAAAGCAAATCCAAGATTGCGAACGTTCTACCCACCAAGATTGGACAAGTCTGACTAATCATATTCCTTCACAGCACGCATATGTGCGTCGTTTGATTATACGGTAATTAAAAGCAGTAACGACTAACGAAAACAACATACCAAAGACTGGGAAACTGACGAACTAGACTGCACCAAAACCTGGTACCGAGGCTCAGCAGGGACTCAAAGAAGAACTGGCGCTTGGCTTCCGTGCTGGAGATCCTCCTGCAGCAACCGGAATTGATGACGAAGGGTTTAGGGTTAGGTCGTGGCAGAGGATAACATGCCACAGCCACAGCCACAGGCGCGAGACTGAAGGAGGTAATTTCCAAATACGCGATTATCTTATAAATAGTTGTCAGTTAAAATATATAATGTTATTACATCATTAAACTAAAATAATATATAAGTAATATTCTAAATATTTCAATAATTTTATTAATATCCTTAAATATTTTTAAAAAAATATTTATGAGATTTTTCAATACATAATTTATCTTTTTAAAAAGATTATGTATTTAAAAAGTAGATAAATAATTTTTGTATATACTTTAAAAAAAATTATTATTTTTTTTTGTTAAGAAAATTTATAGGTATTAAAAAGTTCTCTAACTCTAAAAAAAAATGAGGATTAATGAAAATTTGAAAATTTTAAAGAACTTTAAAGAGTTATAACTTCTCGAACAAATTGTTTAAGGAGTTCGTGAAAGTCTTTCCCATGGCTGAATTCTCTTATGTACCTAAATGGAGGAGGTAAAATCACTTTTGAAGGAGGATCGAAAACCAATTAATGCACCATAACGTCCTCTAAATGTCTAACTGATAGGCTATGTTCTGATTGTCCATCCAAATCATATCGCGTTGATAGTTGAGGTCGTTAGATTCATGATGACAGTCATTAGACATGATCTCAAAGAGCTTACTCGGACTCAGTATACACAAATATGCAAATGCAAATTGTTAGCTTGAAACCTGAATGGACTGTGTTAGAAAGAACCGAGATGGGTCCAAGATGCTCCATTGATGTGAGCTTCTCGATGATTCTTGAACACAAAATTACTCAAATTTATTAATACTAGTTGGTAATTTCGATTCTGATTTAGGCTGCTTAAGAACAATTTACTTCCAACTTTCTTTGATATGATATGAACAATGAACGTGTAATTTGTAAGCAAAACATGAGGTTAAAACAAATTGGATTAAGTTGTAACAATTATATAGTTCATTTTACAAAATTCAAGGGCTTAATGATTAAAACTGTGGTGACACAAATGAAAAAATATGTATATTTAGAAACTGAATTTCTGCTTCCCAGAAATCTCATAAAATGATTTCTCATCAAACTCATACCCAAGTCTTACATGAGCAGGGTAACATCACAGCAGCATAGCTACCAGCATGGAACAAACCTAAATCTGATACCAACAAACAAAGATCATACAGGAAATAAACAAATCTTGCAAGCAAAACTTAACATCTTTTTTGATGAGCAGACAAAGCAGACCAGTTTATTATTATTGTTCATAAGTTCTTCATGTTTTCCTTCAGACTATCCTGGCTTGGCCCCTCCAGTGTCTGTCTATTCCGCTCTTTGAACATGTTGGGAACCATCACTCTGGTTCAGTTTTTCCAGTGCTGAAATTCTACTCTCCAGAGAATCATGCAGCCCTCCCATCTGAATAACCATTAGGAAACACAATAAGTTATCATAATCACGACCCAGCCCCCCCTCGCTTTCGTCCCTCCCTCTCATCAGATAATCCGATAGGCGATAGAAACATAGAACAAAGATCTTATCTTAACAAGTTTGGGATTTTGACACAGAAGAAACTATGGGCAGAAAAATGGCAATAATGCATCGTTATAAACGAGCAGGTGAGCTGACTTATGAATGCAAGTTTCAAAAACGTATCAACTTCTTTCAGGCTCCAAGGGCTCATCACTATTGAGAGTAGACATGGAGATTTAATTTCATTTTTGTGCATGATTTTCAATGAAAAGGAACTGTCATTCTCTAAATCGTTTGATTCAGCTATATATCATATAGTTAGTTCGACTTCATCGAGCAGAAATTTGACTGGTAAACTTAACTGAATCTTGCATTTCAAAACATCAACGGCAATTCCATTAATCTGAAGATGAGAATCAAATATGCATACATTCCTTGATCATCTTTAAGAAACTTCAAATAAGATTTTGCAAACAATATTTAAGGAAGTATGAACATCAGGAAAAGCAACCAAACAAGAGAGAAAGAAACTTTAAAAAATGCACAAGTTTAATCTATAAACTTGACAATCAAGAAATTCATGAGATATTTAGTTTCTCAAATAGGAGGCCTTAAAGAGGTCTCGAGTCCATGAACACACCGCTAAATCAATGTGCCTTATCTATTCAAAAGAAAAAAAATCAAGGCCAAATCACAAGTTTAATCTATAAACTTTCATAGTTATATCGTATCGAGTAGGTCTATAAACTTTCAATTTCACGTCTAATAGGTTTTTGAATTTTTAAAGTGTGTAATAAATGTGGGCATCAATCAAGCAAAATGAGACCTAAAGGATAACTACAAAAAGTCATAATGACCGAAGCCATAAGAGAGACATGGAACCAACCAAGGCTGCACACGTCTTCCTTAGACCTCAAACAACATTAAAGCTCTATGCGTTGAGGATTATTGGGAGTGAGTCCATGTTGGTTAATTTAGTGGAAGATCATGGGTTTATAAGTGAGGAATACTATCTCCCATTGGTATGAAGCCTTTTGGGGAAGCCCAAAACAAAGCCATGAGAGATTATGCTCAAAGAGGACAATATCATACCATTGTGGAGAGTCGTGATTCCTAACACTATGTTCATCTCTCTTTCAATTACTAAATTGCATAACTCCCAAAAGCCACACAATGGTGGTTCTGTTTCACAAATGTCAATACGATCATCAAGTCTACACAGCCAATCAAGTACATTAATTTTGTTGAAATGCATAGTTTCCATTACGGCAAGCTCTTCTTCATATTTCTCTTCTGTAATTTTTTTTTTTTTTTTTTCCTTATTGAACCAGGAAAGGAAATTTCAGCAACAATCTAGCAACAAGTAGCCCAAAATCGACGAATACCGCTGTATCGACCAGTTCACATCAAATTAATTTTATCCACCGACAAGGAAACCCCTAATTTTCCTTTTTCTCCTTTAATCTATCGCACAGAGAAGAGCCATTAAACAAGCATCGAATACAAATCTGTATTTCCGCCTCTGCTATTTCAAAGCTAGCTCGATTATCCAAAACGAAAACCAAATCTCAAATAAATTCAATCAGGAAAAAAAACTACGAATGAAGCTCCCAAATCGAATGCAAGAAAAGTAATTCACGAAACTCGCAACATAGACATAAATATGAAAATCAAAATACCTTTTGCGAAATGGAATCGTAAGCAATCTTGTAATCTCTTTGAAGAATGTAAAACCCCAGAGACGATGCAACCGCTGCTCCGGCGAAGAAGGAAGCCAATCTCACTCGCAGGATATAACCCATCTCTATCACCCACGCCCTTCTGCTTCGTTCCTGTTCCCTCCCGTATTCTTTTCTCTGCAAACACAAAAACACAAATTGTAAAAGAGATTTTAGGGTAAATACTAATTTCTACTTTGGATCCATTGATCAGAGTTTCAAACTTTTTACTCCAAATAATATTGAGCTGAAAATATTTATCCGAATTCTAATAATTTAAGCATGGTTCGTTGGATAATCCACGAAGTTGACGATTTGATTTTTGGACTATTTAATTGTTTAACTTAAATATATATATATATATATATATATATATAATAATTATCATGGCTGTCCCATTCTTTGTCTAAATTTCACCTATGCATTTAACTTCAAAATGTATTTAATAATTTTTTGAATTTTTAATAGTTTATCCGATGGATAATTATATTTAAAAAAAAAAAAAAAAAAAAAAAAAAAACCTTACAAATTAAGAATTTATTAATTTCAAATTAGAAATTTATATATTATTTAAAGAACTTTTTGTTCTTAGTTTTTGGAAATGTACAAGTTTATTTGTTTTGTTATCTACTTTGTACTATATAAAAATGTTATTATATTTTACATAACAAAATGGTAAAATCATAACCATTTTATCTTCTTAAATTTATTTATATTCTTTTAAATTGTGAATCCAAATGTTGTTTTAAATTGTGTATCCAATGAAGTTAAAATGTCAATCAATTGAGAATTTGAAACATTTTTTTATCTGTCTTTGAAGACAACCCTTTCCTCATCATCTATATTCGACTTGACACGAGCAATTTATGCAAAATGTTAGCTTGCATTGCAACTTGCTAGAGATTAGAACATTGTATTGGCGGTCATATGTTAATATGTTTTCCAACCCAAAAGTGTCACATAAAATGATCAATTTGAGCATAATTTAGTGGATAAAAAACTCTTATGTTTCTTGCCATATGAGACATCCAACCACTTCAAGAGCAAGTCCAGTTTACATAAAGTATAGATAAGAAAGCCAAAAACGACACCACAGCGAACAAGTATGAACTATCAGATTCACAGTTATCATCATATAATATCAGAATGAGAGATCAGAGAGTCCATGTCATTAAGAACACACTAAAAATAGCCCCGAAAACGAAAAATACAAAAAAAAAAAAAAAAAAAAAAAAAAAAAAAAAAAAAAAAAAAAANAAAAAAAAAAAAAAAAAAAAAAAAAAAAAAAAAAAAAAAAAAAAAAAAAAAAGATAAAAGGAGAAAAAAAATCAGCTGACAAGTTTGATCTGAGAAATTACAGATAACTGATCATTCAAATCGGGATGATTTTCTTGGTTAAACTTCTCGGTATTTATCTGATCCTTCCCTCCAGGGCCCCCAGTAAGCCATTAAGATTATAGCATATTTCATACAATCTCTGGAAAATCCAAAACAGAACAAGGGAATCCTTCATGAATATCATCAACTAGAAAAGTAGCCTAAGGACAAGAATAGAAACTATTGGACCAAAAGTGTTCAAAGAGGAGATGCTAATGCCTAATAGATTGTTAATTCAGATCAATCAATCAAAACAAGGAACAATTAAATTCTTATGAACAATGAAAAACAGTTGAGCAGCTTAACAAAAAGAATAAATAAATGAAAAAATTCATCAATTGCATTTTCAACATGACTAAAAGTGCAGATTGCATAAAAAAGAAAGATTAGGGAAACCCAACTAAAATTTCAATATAACAAGAGTACTTACTATCTTCTTGAAGGAAACGAAGCAGCAGCCATCCTGTCATAGTACATACAAATTAAGCTCGTTAAACTCTATGTTCAACCACTCATGATAAAGGGTATTGAGCAAAAGAATATTTTGAGCGTAGCGTTCACAAGCTAGATGGTTTAGAATAATACCTGCCCTGATGTTTCCCAGAAAAATTGACACTAGACCTCCCATCAGTTGAAGGTAAGCTTTCATTGCTCCCGCTTGATGTTCTATCATGAGCAGCCCCATTTTCAAACTCCAAAAACATAGATGATTCACGAGGCTTGGCTTCTGAGACATTCAGTTCACGACTATCCTTTGATCTAGTAAAAAGTTTCACATTCAATAGACCTCCACCGGCGGCCGAATGAAAACCATTTTTAGGTTGATTCTTCATTAGTGTGCCCTGTGGAGAATCCTTAGCCATATTTGTAGTAAGAACAGAAGTCTTCTCGGCTTTCATGTTTTTTGAATCAGTAGATATAATCCTCTTTGACCGATTAGTATGTGCCATTGGGGTCATAGCAACAGAAGGCAAATATGATGAATAATGAGATGAAGCTGCAGCCGCAGCGGCAACCTTAGCAAAAGCTGCTGTAGCTGCTATTGTCTTCTGTGCTCCTTCTCGAAGCTGAATATAATCGCCCTCAATCACAAATAACTGATCACCAATAAAAAAGAGAAACTTTTTAACTGTTTACAGCCATACACACCGCCAGAAATACAAAATCATTTAATGTGCATCAAGTTCTGGAGAATCTCACTTCAGGATGATCAGCTACGAAGTCTTCAAGCTTACCATACTTCTTCGCATAATCATGCCAGTGTAAAGGTGCAAGCATCTTGCATAGCCTGTTTGGTAGCTGTATTCGAAAGGACAAATAGCTTCAGTTAATAAAAACGCCAACAATACATTATTTCCTAAAAGTATAATGGCCACTATGATGACAGTGTCAATAAAACTCACTGTTAAACTTATTTGAATTCTACCACCGGCTGGAATAGTTCGAACAATACAAGCTAATAATGCTCTTTCATCAAGAAGGGCGGTTTCTGAGGCCTTCTCCACCATTATAGGAATTTTCGGCCCAGAAGAAACAAAAGCTTCAGATACAACAGCCCCAGATCCAGAGGCATTGTTGATAACCACTTCACTGATGTTTACATTGTGAATGGGAGAAGAATCAGAGGTTAACGTACTGATAGCAGGACTTAATTTTCCCCCATCTAACCCTTGCTTCTCCAGAACTTGACCACCTGCACACAAATCAATTTGATCCTGGGCCAAACGAAGTATAGCTTAAGTTAATTCTTGAATCAAATAAGCAATCACCAAGGGGGGGAAAAACGCAAAATGTACACCTTTTCATTGTTGTGTTGAATAGAAGCAGAACCAATCCTTAGAGCATCATGAAATTGAGAGGCAACATGTTGCAAGCTCGTATCAGGTTGGGGGGCCACTTGATATCCTCTATCCACTGACTCAAGCTAAAAAAATATATCTATTGTCAGGACAGCAAACAAGGCTAAAGAAATCATATGATTAATTAATCGTTTGAAGTTTAAAATATTCAAGACCTGTGTTTCTCCAGAAGATGATGAAAGCACTGAATCAGGTTCTCTTCTCTTGCTGGTATGAACATCCAGATAATCTGGTTCAAGAGCTTGCCCATTAGCAGTCATCTCGTAGGGATAATTAGTATTTGATGTCATTATGTTTTGAGCATTTTGAGAAGACTGAAGCTCATTCTGAACAGATATGTTGGAACCCTCTGAAACAATCTTGAGAAGATGCATAATATTTAATTTTTTTTCCTACGATATAAAAATGAAGAAAAAAAACCAAAATACATCAATTGTCACATACCTGTTTAGTCTGCCACGGTTGGATGGATGATACAGCTGGTAATGATGAGAAATGCGCCATGTGAGATTGAGGAACTGGGGATGGTACAGAATGAGGAACCCCTGGTTGATGGATCAAAAAAGGATGCAAGGCAGCCATCTGCCCAGGAGTAAGGTAGGGTGGCATCCCAAGTAGAGATGATGGAGCCATTGGAACACCGGATACATGGTCACTCTAGCAACAAAGACAGATCAGCCATATTATTACAGAAGTGGGATGGGGGTTCAAAATTACTTTTGCCTTCATTTTTTATTGATCTATTTTGGAAGTGTTCACCATAAGGTAGTAAGTAACCATGATAAGTCACAAACAACAAAATCAATAGCTGGACAGAGGAAGAACACGTAATCCCACCTGGATAGATGAATTGACAGTCGAATTAAAAGATGGAACATTTTCAGCATTCCCATTTGACAGTGCCCCATTATTTCCATTTGAAGCAGCTCCACCTAATTGGTTATTAGTTTGCCCATATTGCGATACATCTTTAGAATTTGTCTGAGATATATTTGACTCCTCATTGTAAGTCCCATTTCTTTCCCTTGCATCAGCCAACTCGAGTTGGAGTTGTTGCAACGAATGCATGTGAAGCCTTTCCATCTCTGCAAACTAATATTTTAAAATGAAAATAACAACATTAACAACGACAACAATAAACTTAAAAGGAAAAGGAATACAACAACATCAAAAAATATATGAATATGGTATTAGAATAATTAAATAAACAGCCAACGTGTGCTGCATTCCTCAATTTGAATCAAAATATTATAAAATATGAAATTTAATATTGCAGAATCTAATAAATAGGTTGGAATGGGAAAATATGGAATGCAAAAACAGAAGAATTCATAGATTTGACAACAAAACAAAATATTTTTGATGATCCAAGAAACGGAAAAGGAAGTCATAACTGTAAGCCTTAAGCTATAATTCTTAAATCACAAAGCCAAAGAGAACCAACCTGCCGCTGGCAACCAAGCCATAGCTGGTTATACTGCTCCTTACGTTCACACAATTCGGCTTGTAAGGAATGATTTGTAGTCGATTGCAAAGCATCCATTTCCTGGACACGAGCAATCCAAGCATGGGCTTCCCTCAATTGTTCATCTTTGTACAAAATGGTTTCTTGAGCAATCCTATGCTGAATAATAGGGACCATAAGATCTTTATGAAGTTATGTAGTTGCAATCAGGGGGAAACTATTGGCAACAAACAAAAATCATATCTGGCAGAATCAAATCAATGCATAGCAATATGTCTTGCCAATATGAATGAAGTAACAACCAAATCATTTCTTAAAAAACTTTGGGCAAGGCTCGATCCATAATCTACATTATTGCCCTCTTAGAAATTTCAAGGCTAATGAAACTCAGAAATTTTTAACAGGAAAACCAGAACATTAAACAATAATCACTCTCGGGTCATATAATAAAAGAGCCTGTATTAGCAGAATGAAAATCAAATGTTCTATAGATAAAATTCATAAAGATGATAAAACGCACCAAGAAGTATACAGAGAGAGAGAGAGAAGAAGAAGACAAATACTAAACCTCAATTTAATCCTATACCTCCAAGGTGTTTACTTAATCACCATCCATCAAAAGGAAACGAATAGAAAAAACTCACAGTTTTTTCATCACACAATACCTTAAAAGGAAGTTTAAAGAGGATGGTGAAAAGGAAGAAAGCAGATTTGCAGAAAAATTTATTTCCAATTTAACCAGGAGAAACAACAAACCTGCTCCTGTAACTTAAGAAGCTGCCGCTCTTTCTCATGGATGTGTTCTTGGAGTTCATGCATTTGTTTTATTTGTTGAGCTCTTTCAGCCTCAGAGTGATCAAGTTCTCTCCTACAGAGAAGGTGCTTCTTATTTCTCAACTTTAAAACTAATTATGGAAGTCTGATAATAGAAGAAATGCCATTATAGCAGAGCCAACAAAAATGCAGATTGTAACTAAATGAACAGTAATAAAATTACTTTACTTTAAGTATGTGTTAGTGTAAGCAAAAAATGTAAAATCAATGGCACGAGAATGGAAACATTGTAGAACGTCTACACAAAATGCAACCTGTAAGTTGCTATTTCTTTATCTTGTTCGCGAAGAAGATCATCCTTGGCCCAAGCCTGTGAAAAAATTATAGAATAAGAGAGTTATTAAAAAACAGTTTCATGTTGAACATTCTTAGGCTAACAAATCAAGCATGAGTAAAAAACAGCAGACCGCTTCACTGTCCAATTTAATTGATTGCAACTCCCTGTCTTTATCTTCTAATTTCCTTTCCAATTCATGAATAGCCTGATCTCTTTCACATAGTTGGTCCTGTACAACCACAAAATGCCTCGTCTAAGTGTCAAAGTAGTCATGATCTAATAATAATGGTAGCAGTAATCAATTCAAAAATAAACTAAGCCATTAATTGCCGATTATAAGTACTATGTACAAGCCAATTAACAATACAACTTGCAAAGGAATTTTTATGATATGAAGACTAATATGCAGCGAAAAATCAATTATAATAACTTAATAATAGTTTCATCAGACAACTTGTCCAAGCATCTAGTTGTAAAAAGTAAAAACCTGCATCTTGATGGCAGCATTATTATGTTCTTTCACTTGAGCATCAAACCTCTTTCGCATTTCCAATATTTCTGATCTTGCAATAACTTGAGCTCTAAGTTCAATCTCCATCTGTTGCAGATCCTCTCTCTGTCTAGTGACATCATTGAGCCGTTGCTGCAAAATATCATTATCTGAATTCCCATCAATTGAAATTGAACAGAAGTCAACATCAAGGGGTTCCCTTCCCTGCTGCACCTTGACATATAGCACATCATCTTCACCAGAATGATTCATGAGGTTCTATGATTCCAATACCAGAACCTTCTTACCTCATATATGGTCCTTTCATCTGATTGTGTCGACTTTGATCGTTCCATTTCCTGCACAACAAATAATCTTCAATAAAACTAATAAAGGTTATAATAACTCACGCATGAGGCTCCATATGATTGAACGTAAGTTTAGAAATTGGTGAAGGACATGAGCTAACTCCAGTATGCTTGGGGTGGGGGCTAAAGATGAATGCAATGTTCAATCAAATCTGAAAGAAGCCAATCAATGAGGAAAATGAGATCATCTGCACCCTATCACTCTATTAGAGGAACGTCATTCTATTAATATGACGATACCTATCGACATCAAACATGCTAGAGTACCTCTCGGGCCAACTTATCAAAAGAATTTTTCAAGTTCCGATGGTTTCATAGTAACAGACTGGAAGGTTTCTCATATTCTTCAGTCATCCATTCGAATTAAGAACTTAAAACTTAAAACTAAATACGTAATGAGCACGACAGCACTCCCATTTTCCGAGCAGGAAGCAATAGCATACGCAAAACTCTAGTTCTACTTCCAGACCTAACAATGCATAAGCTCAAAACACAAAACAAAAGACTACGATGAACGAGAGGCAGCAAAAATATAGTGATTATCAGTAAAGGCGTTTAACAGAACCAGTAAATAGATAAGATAATAAGATAAACAAGAAGAACGCTGTTGTCCATGTATCCGATTAGTGCAGAAACAAAAAAGGCAATGCAAGAAACCATTAAATATGCGGAAAGCCCTACCTCACCGGCGGCATCTCGAGCGGAGTGATTGTCAGCAACGGCTCGCCATTCCTGGCGAGAGAGCTGGGAAGACTGCATCGCGAGAGAAGCACCACGCACTGCGGCCGTGGCTTCCTTGACAATATTAAACAAAAAAGGCGCGTCAATGCTCCAAATCAGTGTCTCTCAGCCTCTGGGAATGTCCAGAAACCCTAGCTCCGGCGGGGTCCGAACAAAACCCAGAAAAGGGAGAAGGTATGATGGGGAGGAGACGAGCGATTGGGAATCAGGCAGTGGCAGATTTAGAGAGGAGGAGACAGTGTAAGAGAACGCGCGAGAAGAAAGGAAGGAAGGTGGGCGATAACTCGGAGGGGTCAATTTATTTTAGGAAAAGAAAAGAGGTTTTTTACGAATTTTCAATTCTTTATGGGTCAAATTGCGATTTTCAAAAAATACAGGTGCACCAATAATGCTTCGTTATTTTGGATCATATTCCTTGCATTAAATAGTCCTCCCCTTATTCTTAAATTTTTTATTTTTTTGTTTAAATTATTAATTTATTTTTTTTTTAAATCATAAAATTTAAAATTTAGTAACCTCAACCCAAAATTAAATTTTACATTAAATATTTTAACGCTGAATAGGATTACCCACCAAGGACTCACTAGATATACTCGGATCCCTGGGCAACCTTTTTATGAATAGCTACCCCAATTAGACGATCCCATAACACTATCTGATGAGCGGTGTAAAATGAGCTTAGTTCATGTTGGGCTCGACTAGCTACGATGAAACATGTCCCTGCCTTGGTAAGTCAGTCGGTTGAGCCGGTGAAAAGCTTGGAAAAGAAGATGGGGGAGCCCTTATCTAATGATATCCCACGGGTAAGCTGTTAAGTGAAGAGAATGCTATGAGTTCACAAGAGTAGCTAAAAGGTGAATGAAAAGAATCCAGCCCTGAGCAATAAGGGGCCGGAAGAAAAGGTTATTCCAACTCCGGTTTCATTTAGTCGAGTTTGGATTAATATTGTATTTTTTGGTGTGGTTTTAAGCTCATAGTGTGTTCGTGTTTCATTTTAAGCTCGTAGACTATCAAACCAAAATACATAATTCAGTTTCGACACTTAATAACTGTAGCATTATTTGCAACCGGATCGTACTACCTATTTGTTTTTAAGTACTTTTAGAAGTGAAAACTGTCATTACGTACCAACAAGTTTCAAGTGCAGGTTTGAGATCATAAACGAGCAAAGACGTTCATTCTGCTCCCAATCGAAGATTCGAAATAGATGTCCAATTTGACTTTCATATCCAATCAAAACAAGAAGAAGTCCACTCGAACTTGATATCAATATTTTAATCATACCTAATAAAACAGTTGAAGGATCCCAAACGAGAAGTTACTTTCCACATTTATTGCCACAGCAAGTGATTCCTTTTATTTATTTATTTATTTATTATTATTATTCAATTTCCATCTATTTTCAAATTTAAACCCACTTTATATTTATCTTATTATCCATTAAAATATCATTTTATCTATTTATTTTATTTTAAAATATCGGAAAAAAAACTAGTCTTTATTAGCATAAATATGTTTTTTTTTTTTTTTTTGTATTTTATCATAATTATTATTTAATAAATTTCAATAAAATCAATTAAAATAATATTTTAACAAATAAAAAAAGAGTTGGACACCATTCAACGTTCTTTTTAAAAGTTCGTATGAAGTAGAGAAGATTCAAATATTTGATCTATTAATCGAACACCGAACAAATTTTATTTCAACAAACATGTGAAGTCAGACATTTATGCACGCGAATATATATATATATATATATATGAATTTTCAGTTAGCAAAGGTGAATTTGATAAGTAATTTAAAGAAAAAAAAACATTTTCGTTTCTCAATTTTCAACTTTTTTTTTTTTTTTAATAATTATTATTGGTCACCTAAATTGGTGGAATTATATGCCACGTGTCTGCATCCGGTTCCTCGCTGGACTTGATTGACGGCCAATAATCGGTCTTTCATCATTAAATCAACGGCATGCCTATTTCTATTACCTTCCCTCCTCCGACTTTCCAAACTTCCATTTTCAACGCCTACTGCTCTCGTCGTCGTCTTCTTCTTCTTCTTCTCAGGGGTCTGAGTTTCAGAGCTAAGCTCCACAAAGTTCCATTTAATGCTTGCGCATTCTCTGATCAACGTCTTCCTTCAAGATTAACTTCGGGATGGGACACTTGTGTAGCAAGAGTGTTTCCGATGTCAACCATGATACTGGAATTTCCGGCGGCAGCCATACGAGATCTTCGCATTCCGGTGCTTCTCCGATCGCTTATGGAGATGTTTATTCAAGACCTGAAGAATTCAGGCAGTCCTACTCAGTGTCAGCGACGGGGAGTCCATTTTCCAGTCCTCTACCTGCTGGAATAGCGCCGTCACCAGCTAGAACTCCGGGGAGGAAATTCCGATGGCCTCTGCCGCCTCCTTCCCCGGCTAAGCCGATCATGGCTATTCTACGGCGGAAATCGCGTAAGGCTTCGATACCAGAGGAAAACCGAATTGGGGAAGAGGGAGTGGGAGAGATTCAGTTGGATAAAAGCTTTGGATACTCGAAGAACTTTGGTGCGAAGTTCGAGCTCGGGAAGGAGATTGGGAGGGGCCATTTTGGACATACTTTTTGGGCCAGAGGTAAAAAGGGCGACCTCAAAGGAAAGCCCGTCGCCGTCAAAATCATCTCCAAATCTAAGGTTCACTCAATTCTCTCAATATTTCCATCTTTATTTCCTTAGCTCAATCTATTCGTTGATTTAATTCATTCTAGACGTGAAATCCTCATGATATAAAGGCGAATAACCTTGAGTTAATTCATAATCCATTTGCAAAATTAGATGTCCGCATGGGCTATGAAATGATCACCCACGATCTCACGTCGGTTGGAGAGGAAAACGAAACATTTCTTTTAAGAGTGTAGAAACCTCTCTCTAGTAGACACGTTTTAAAATCATGAGGCTGACGGCGATATGTAACGGGCCAAAGCGGATAATATTTACTATCGACGGACTTGAGCGGTTACATTTAGTGGGACAATCACCATGATTCATTGCCTAGTTTTGCTTTATTTGGATATCAACTAGCTGCTTGCTCGATTAGCTCTCAGAATTTCTATAAAAACTAAGTGCTATTTGGTTTGACAGATGACTTCAGCAGTTGGAATTGAAGATGTTCGTAGGGAGGTTAAGATATTGAAAGCATTGTCTGGGCACAAGAATCTGGTCCAATTCCATGATGCATTTGAAGACGCCAATAATATCTACATGGTTATGGAGTATGTATTAATCTTCTTATCTACATATCTGAGTACTCATTGAAGTTAATATTAGTTGACTGCATGAACTTTTGATATCAGATTGTGTGAAGGAGGAGAACTGCTGGAAAGAATAGTGTCAAGGTAAGAATGGTTTACTTCATTTACCATGAGAAAACGTTGATCAACTTGATACCAAGTTCATAATGTAATTTGCAGAGGAGGAAGATATCCTGAACAAGAATCCAAAACTATTCTTGTGCAGATCCTTAATGTTGTTGCATTTTTTCATCTACAAGGAGTAGTCCACCGTGACTTAAAGCCAGAGGTAAGACATCTTCTGTAGCTTCAAATGAATGAAGTTCATTATTACTTGGTGTAACTTGTCGTTGTCAAAATCTCCTCTCGCAGAACTTTCTTTTTGTGAAAAAAGATGAGAACACAGGGCTCAAAGTCATTGATTTTGGTCTATCTGATTTTGTCAAGCCAGGTAAGAACTTTTGGCCCTTATATATGTTCTTGGCTTTGTTCTGTTCATTGAATATTTGCATATGATGTGAAAGATTGGTTGGGAGAGATTCTTTAAGTTCTCACATCGGTTGGGGGAATGAAACATTTTTTATGAGGGTGTGGAAACCTCTCCCTAGCATATGTGTTCTAAAACCTCAAGGGAAAGCCTAGAAGGAAAAGTTCAAAGAGGATAATATCTGCGGGCGGTGGGCTTAGACTTGGGCTGTTAGAGTTGGTATCAGAGCTAGACACTGGGCGGTGTGCCAGTAAAGACACTGGGCCCTGAATGGGGGTGAGTTGTGAGTTCCCACATCGATTGGAGAGAAGAACGAAACAGTTTATAAGGGAGTGGAAACCTCTCCCTAGTCGATGCGTTTTAAAATCTTAAGAGGAAGCCCGAAAGGAAAAGCCTAAAAAAGACAATATCTGCTAGCGGTGGGCTTGAACTATTAATCCAAGCTCTTCGTATCCTTGAGAACTGGCTGTTTTCAATTCCTACTTGATTTTCACTTTGCCATCTTATTGGAGGTGAGGCCGTTTTCACAACACCTATAGTTCTTGTGCAGATGAACATCTGAATGATGTCGTTGGTAGTGCATACTATGTTGCACCTGAAGTTCTCTACCGATCTTATAGCCATGAAGCAGACGTGTGGAGCATTGGTGTCATAGCATATATCTTGTTGTGTGGAGGCAGACCTTTCTGGGCAAGAACTGAATCAGGAATCTTTCGTTCCGTGCTAAGAGCCGACCCTAACTTCGACGATTCCCCTTGGCCTACCATCTCTGCAGAAGCTAAAGATTTTGTCAAACGGCTCCTGAATAAAGACCATAGAAAAAGAATGACAGCAGTCCAAGCTTTAAGTAAATTCTTTAGACTTTCATGCTTAGGTTCCTTCTCTTTTGTAGTATACTTAACATTATAAACAAACGATGTCGGTCGTTTGATTCACAGCGCACCCGTGGTTACGAGATGAAAACGTTGCTGTGCCTTTGGATAGTTTCATATACAAGTCAGTTAAAGCATATCTTCGTGTAACCCCATTCAAACGTGCAGCATTGAAGGTAATGCTGCTAACTTCTAGGGGCACATAGATGTTCTTGCTATGCAGTTTCTGTACAGTGTTTGGTGCACATTGGTGCATCATTAACTTTAAGTAGACAGGTTCATTTACTGTGGCATCGCTACATTATTGTAGGCACTTGCAAAAGCTTTGACAGAAGATGAACTTTTCTACCTCAGGGCCCAATTTAAGCTCTTGGAACCGCAAAATGGATTTGTGACCCTTGATAACTTCAAAGAGGTTAGCCTTTTGCCATGCTTTTTGCTTTGAAATTTATTTGCAACGTTTACTGTTGATGCCTACATATTAAACTTTGTTCAGGCTCTTGTGAGAAACGCTACTGATGCAATGAGAGAGTCGAATGTTCTTGACATTCTAAAGATGGTGAGATTACTTTTACTTCTTTACCTTCAAGTAGAAAACTTTTAGAATGTTTGACGAATTCAACCGTTTGAATATCGTTTTTTTCCGAACTTCATCTTGGTGAGCATCTTAGTGATTGTCATGTTGTCCTAAGTTACTAACACATCTTAAGCGTAGTTTTGAAACATTTTATGAAAGGTATGTTCCCTTTCACTAACATTTCAAACTTGTATTAAGACGGAATCTATAGCTTATGAGAGAATGGACTTTGAGGAGTTCTGCGCAGCTGCAATCAGTGTATATCAGCTGGAGGCTGTTGCAGGATGGGAAGGCATCGCCACCCGAGCTTTCGAGTATTTTGAGCAGGACGGGAATCGAGTCATCTCAGTTCATGAATTGGTGCAGGTAAGCAACAGTTTGAGGCTTGGAATTTCTATATTTCACACAATCAAGAACTGTTAACTGAAGCAAGTGTTTAAAATGTGTTCAGGAAATGAATCTAAGTCCTGCAGCTCATTCATTTCTCCAGAACTGGACAAGAAGTTCTGATGGGAAACTCAGTTTTTTTGGATACACAAGATTTTTGCATGGTGTTACAGTCCGCAACTCTAATACAAGACATTAATAGCTAAAATACCTATACACTTCATTTTTACCTCTTTGTATTCTCAATTTGATTCCCTGCAGCTTCTGAACACAGTGAAAGAATGGCCATGCCAACAAAAGAAACGAGGCTGCAATATATATTGTATGTTCCCAACCGCTCAGTTCTTTCCTTGTAATCTTCCATCTTGTAAAAACAACCCAGAAAGCAGAATACAGATATTGATATGGCATGATTTTCTTGTTGAAAAACTCGAGTATTTACAATGATATGATATTGTCCACTTTGAACATGCTTTTGGGTTCTCCGAAAGGCCTCATCCCAATGGAGATGGTGTTCCTTACTTAAAAACTCGTGATCCTTCTCTCAATTAGTCAAGTGGTAATCTTAACAATCTCTCCTCAAACAAAGTAAACAATAGAGCCTCTCCTGAGGCTTTCTTCGGCTTTCTTCTCTGGAGCTCTTGAACAGCCTCCCCTTAATTAAGGCTTGACTTCTTTTCTAAAGCCCTAGAACAAAATACAGCATTTGTTCAACACTTGAGCTGCCCTGAACTACACATTCGAAGCTCACAACTTCTTTATTCGACACTTGAGAATTCTATTGACATGACTCTAATACCATTTTATAAACAAGAACCCTCCACAATGATATAATATTGTCCACTTAGCATAAGCTCTCATGAGCGTGTTTTTTGTTTCTCCAAAAGACCTTGTACCAATGAAAATAGTTTTTCTTACAGGCTCATGATCTTCTCTAGGGTGGAAATACTCCTCTCAATAATTCTCAATAATCCTCAATAGCAATACCATGGGGAAGATAACTTATATGCCAAAAATAGAATTAACCATACATACATCTAGTCAATTATGAGGTACGAAGCTTTGAACTTCGACTTTTAAAATACACGTCAATTATCACCGAGCTATTCGACTTTTGCACTTAATCACTCACGAAAATATATGAATAAAGAAGTGGAGAATATAAATATGAAAAGGGGTAGAGTTGATCTCATCCATGTGGCCCGTGGAAGGCGTAATCTAAAGAAGTCAACGATGGAAGAAGCACAATCCATTTTTCTTATTTTAAATAGAATTTGACTTTCCATTATTCAAGCTGGATTAGTTTACATATGAAGAAGACGCGTGCAGCAAAGTTGTAGCTGCCATTGCCAGAATAATAAAGAATTACTCAGAATCCATTTCAGACAGCTCTGATTATGTTGTTTGAGCTTCAACAGAGACGCAAATCTTCACAAGAAGAAACAAATGACAAAAACACCACAATCTAGGACAATATTTGAAGAAATTAACAGAGGAAATCCCAGAAATCAACAGTATGAATGATCAAACAAACAAAAAAACAAAAACTAAACCCCAATCTAAAGTAAGGGTTTCAAGAACATCATGAATCAGTGAGCAGAGGGCCTAAAACAAGAGATGTGAAGATGATGAATGAAGCTATCATGATGAATAATGCCCTGAAGTGTACGGAAATCATCGACAGGGCAAGGAATTGAGATCGGACCTTTCTGATCGAAGCCATGCTCATCTTCAGCGTCCTTCAAGAGCTGCACGAACAGCGGATGATTGACATAAATGACAGGAATCACGAACCTCTCTTGTTCTTGGCCAACAAGAACAGCCAAACAGCCCTTGGGAGTGTACGGCTTGCTCCGGTGATGGAAGTGAGGCAAATGAAGATGAAAATTCAACGGCGGAAGGTGCTGATGCTTCATCGGAAGAACAGAACAGACGATCGGAGGAAGAAATTGAGGGCGTCAGAGAGAAAATGGCCAAGGATCGGAAGAAGAAATGGCGAGAGTAAAGAGGTTGAAGGAGGAATCCGTGAACGAAGATGGGATGTTGCTCATTTGATTCTTCGGCCGCTCAACATATGATTTACAGAAAATTGAGAGGGACGAGAAATTAGAGGAAGACGAAGGCGCTGTATTTATAGTGATGAAAATTAAATTAAGGGAATTGAATTTGAATTCCAAGTCCGTGTGAAGAAGCCAGGCCGTCGTTTGCTTAGCTTCCACTCCAAAAAGGGTCGGTTGACGGTTGCCCTGCCTTCTTCCTTCGTCTACGCCAACCCAACTAGTTTCCTTTTTTTTTTTTTTTAATCCAAAATATATCAATAAATTATAAATTTCGTCTGTATAATTTAAATAAAATTATATTTTTATTTTTGATAAAACTTATAAATAATTTATATAAATTTAATAAAATATAGTAAAAATTAAATTTTAATTAAGGAGGTTTAAAAAATCAAATGATTTGATGAATTTTCATAAATTTATTATTTAATTTAAAAAAATACTCTATTTATTTTATTTTTATAATTTATTAATATTATTTATTCTCATGTTAGAATTAAATTATTAATTATAGAACATATCTCCGTTAATATTTTTTATTTAATTTATAATATATTTAGATTTAGTTGGTTTATATTTTAATAGGTATCAATTAATTTATATTTTTTTATTGATAAATATTAGTGGGTATATTGTAGCAACGGATTAAACTTTCAATCTCAATTCTATTTTTTATTTTTAAATTTTTATTTTTTCCTTAAATAATAATATATTCATATCTATTTACGCTTTTGAGGGTAGATATTGTGTCATAGCTTAGGTAAAATTAATAACAATAGAAATTTCACCGTCCGAAGTCAAGACACGAAGAAACAAAATTCACTGCAACGAACAAGAAAAAACACACCACACGAACAAATCGAAAAATCGAGAGAAGCAAAGTCAAAGACTCAAGAGGAACACCGAGCAGCCACGTCATTTTAACCGTTCACATGCTCACCCACTTTCATTTTCTTAATAAAAATCAACGCATTAAGATAAAAGTAACGGATTTTAAAAGTCAAAAGACAAATATGAAATGTTCAACTATTATCCTAACTTTTGTACCCTTTTAAGTATTTGCCACGTAAGATAATAACTATTATTGTAATTTAGTTTGAATTATGACGTATTATTCATTTATAAACAACGAGGAGAAACACATTTTCCACGAAAACCCTATTTTTCCAGCGGAATTCGCCGATATTCGTTGGCTTCTAGAAGGTCAACCATTTAATATTACACCATATTTACTTTTTTCTTTTTGGATATTTTAGATTTTAATAATATTATATTTTACAATTTGAGTGTTCATCTCTCTATTATTTATTTTTTAAAAATTAGATATTAAAAATGATGTAAAAATTTATATTCACAACAATAAATATTAAAATAAATTAATAAAAATAAAAAATATTCATAAACTTTTAAAAATTCAATAATATTCTTAATCTTAAAAAAAAAATCAAAAAAAATATTTTTTTATTAATTTTTTATGAAAATATTTAATATTTTGTTTTAAAGGTTTAAAAAATACTTAATTTTAAAAAATTTCATTAAAATCATTCCATTTTTTTAAAGTAAAATAATAATAATAATAATTAATATTATATTAAAAAAATATTGATAAAATTTTAAAATACTATTACACTCTTAACCTTTATATATAAATTTTAAAAAAAAATTAATATTACCGTTGAAAATTGAAATTTGCACGCGTAATAAATATATTTTTTTTTTTCATCGGCCGTTTTTTTTTTTATTATAAATCAAATGAATCGACGGTTGAGATTATTCGAGTGATGGGCTGACGTGATCTGCCCGAGTTTGGAAATTGAAAAAATCCAACTATAAACATATTTATCTATAAATAAATAAATAAAACAAATTTAATTAATCGAATTTACTTAATTCGATGTTTTTAAATATAATTTGAAGTATAAAATTGGAAAAATAGTTTTTATTTCAGAGCGATTATAGTTTTAAATATTTTATTATGGCCTAATATATATTTATTAATACTAAATTGCATCCCGATGATTATATTATTTTCGTAAACCGTCTCCTCCAACACAAATTAAAATATTCAAATTATAAAAAATAAAAAAAAAAACTTTTCAATAAATTAAAAAGCCGCTCTTGCAATTATTATAATTGGAAAATATAATTATTTATTTTTTAACTTAGAATTTTTCAAATTAAAGATTAGGTTGAGATTCATTGATGGTTGACTTTCAGATTGATATTCAACCTTTAAAAAATAGTAGAAATTACATTAATTTTATTTATTTATTATTATTATAGGTCAGTATCAAATTTACTTTTAGTTCAAAACGATCGAAACATATAAGAGGTGAAATTAGACTATAACAATCAACCCAAATTACAAATAAAGCTCGTAAGAAAAGGTCAAACACGAGACGAAATAGGGTCGGGTTGATGCCCAATTTCAAGTGGTGGACGTAGGCAAAGGACCGAGGTTGATCATTAAGAGAGCACGTGTCGTGCAAGCCCTCTACTCCAATGATTTGAGTCTGCCTTGATATTACCTAATTAGACCGTGAAGTTAATTTAATATTTTAAAATATATATTAAAATTAAGTTGTAGTCTTGAAATTAAAAAAACATCTCAACTTCATATTTTTAATTTTATTCTATATTTTTTCATGTTCGAGTGAGAACATCTTATTTTAAGATATCAATTAGTTTTCAATGTTCACGTTTTATTTAAAATTTAGATCTACGGGTATTTCTAAAAATATTATTAATATCGATAAAAAGCGTCTCACCCCGACAAATTTGAAAAATTACAAATTATTTAATTTATTAACAAAATTTACACATTTTGTGTAAGAAGGAATTCTATAATTTAAAATTCGTAATATTTTAAAAGGATGAAAATTGAATTTGTAATTTTAAAAGTTTTAGAAATAGATAAATTTTAATTTCAAGGTCTAAAATGGTAATTTGACACTTTCTAGGTTATATATATATATCAATCGAAAAGAAAAACCTTCTCTTCTCTGAAACGCTGAGGAAAAAAAGGGGCCAAGAAAAATGCAGATCTTCGTCAAAACCCTAACGGGGAAGACCATTACGCTGGAAGTAGAGTCCAGCGACACTATTGACAATGTCAAGGCGAAGATCCAGGACAAGGAGGGTACGTTTTTCTTTTTTGCATTCGGAGTTTTCATTCTCTAGTCAAGCGGCAAATCTGACATTCATATTGTTGTTTTTTTTTTTCGATTTATGCTGTAAACTCTCCAGGTATTCCCCCCGACCAGCAACGACTGATCTTTGCTGGAAAGCAGCTCGAGGATGGCCGCACTCTCGCCGATTACAACATCCAGAAAGGTAGCATTTAGTTTTATTTTATGTAGAATACGAATTAGTCGAGGAGAATTTGGCTGAAATTATTGTTGTAGGTTTGTCCGGTGGCATTATTCGTTTTTGATTCTCTTAACTTGTGGATTTTATCGGTGCACGAACCGTAACCACGAATTTTTTATAAGTGAAGTCTGCAAAATTGTGAAACGGGAACCAGACCCTGTGTACTGATTGTTTTTATTAGCGATTAAACTTGGATAAATACAGTGCTCCTTTACTTTGGGTGGGGCGTCTTAGATTTAATGGAACTGTGAAACATTGAAATCGGTGAGTTGGTGCTTGTTTCTTGTTTCAACGTTCTTTTATTCAACTTAGAACTACAAGCAGCGGTTTGATTGAATGAATGAATGTGCTGTATTCTTTTAGGTACATTTGATTTGTGGTTTTCTTTTATTTGAGTGATTGCTTAGAAATTTCTGTTCGTGTTTGATTGCTTCAATGGCTACTTTCAAGGATATCTAAAAGTAGTTTCCAGGGGGATTGGAAATTGACAAGCATCATTGCACTTTTACCTATGAATCCATAATCTTATTTGAGCATGAACTAGTTTCATTTGCTTTTCCGTTATTAACTTAAATATACGCTTTTCTGATTGTATGTTCAGAATCAACGCTTCATCTGGTTTTAAGGCTTCGTGGCGGTATCATCGAACCATCTTTGATGGCACTGGCCAGGAAATATAACCAGGACAAGATGATCTGCCGCAAGTAAGACACTTTTTGTTTTGGGCATTTTTTTTTTCACTCTAGATGCAGGACTGGTATATGAACTGAAACAACCCACTGTCTGATTGAGTAAATTGATCCATAGATTCCCAATCAACTGGTTTGTCCATTTTTTATACTTCTTGATTTGTTTTGGTTTGAATCATTAAAGGAGTTATTTTTGGTTGTGTTTAGTTTGGCTTTTAGTAGACCAGAAAAATCGACCAAGTCACTTAATCACCACACACAATTAGAAAACAAGTGAACCTAAAAATTGAAAACCAACTTGTTTTTCAGTTCGAGATCAGTTTCTATTAGTTTGGTTCCGTCATAACATATAATAAATGGAAGAAATTGATTTCAATGAACACTTCCAGAACCTAGAATGTTTCTAAAGTTTTCCCCCTTTATTTGGGTCACAGATGCTATGCACGCCTGCATCCTCGTGCTGTCAACTGCCGGAAAAAGAAATGCGGACACAGCAATCAGGTAAGAACATTATCAAACCCATCGATTGGTTTCATCATTTGCAATCGCTGTTTGATTGAATTCAAACTTATTGAATTGCAGCTGAGGCCAAAGAAGAAGATCAAGTAGAATGCTGATGATCCCAAGAAGAAAATTTTATGGTACCTGCTTCATTCACTTGCTGTCTTCTTGTAGA